CCATTCTGAAGTACAGAAATCGAGGAAAATGAACAAATCCGAACAAATGTTTCATAACATATTGTCACTTACCCAGTAATAATTGTTCGACACATCGTGGTACGGCCTGTACATGCTTGTAATTCGCAGTCGCAATAAAATCAATGTGTCTCGTAGGAAGCGTCAGAAACACAACAAACTCCTGTAATCATTCGGAATGGTGGCTTTTCGTAGTGTGAGACGGAGCGACGACATGCAAAATCAGCCATACGTTGATGAAGAAGGCCTCGAAGTTCAAGATGTTTGTACAGTGGGTTGGTGAGACGTCTCAAAATGAAAAAGAATAGGATCCTTAACTTAACCCAACCCACGACTTGTACTACTCCGGACCAACAGTTGTCAGTTATCATTACTCGTGAGTCTATCTCACCCCAAGTGAAGGGCATGAGAAGGACCGTATTCAGCAGTATAGGTAGCCGGATAACTGTAGAACCTCGAATAGCTTGAGTAGCGAATTGAACTGAGACGAATTTTTCACTTTAGGATGCCTCACCAACGGTAGATGGACCCTACGTAAAGTAGAACATTGAGGTATAAATTTGCGGTTGTTGATGAACGATCATACTGTTCCGATCAACTCCGGCTCATCTGATATTTGTAGTTGGGAAACATCCCATAGCTGTTCTATAAGCACAGCTATCAAGATTACGATTGGGTCCACGAGAAATCGAAGTTGACGCTCAAAAAAAGTTCGAGCCCTCAGTTAGGTCTCCTGAACATGTTTATTGATAGTTCTTTAGGTTACGGAAACATGCAAAGGACTTTAGACTTTGGCAACACGCCAGGAACACGACTAGAATCAGTAATCATGGAGAGATATGAATGCTTATTTGGTTACACAATGACCTGCAGGCTGAGTAAACGTTCACGTAAATACGTTTGTCCACCCTCACACTTCAGTTCCAAAGACGTACCCCTAAAAGGATGGGAGGATTCTTGGTTTATGAGAAAATCTGCTATCCCCACACTGAACGAGTGGTGCTGTCCGAGCCCTCCATTTAATATCGCTATGCCGAGCACATCAGGTCGGTATCATAACACAATACGTAAATGTGGCAAATAAAGATTAATAAACTGATAATATTTTTTCTTCTCACAGGGGAAAAAATGGCTCAATACCCTCCATTGACATGATACAAAAAAACGATTAAAAGCGAACTTTTTTTCAGTTATATAATCGTTTGAAGGTTAGAATATGAAGAAGAGCAGATATCCACCTGGCATATATCTACAGCCATTTGCCGCTGACAGTAGAAAGGGCATTTTAAACATTGAAAAGACTGTCGATTTGCTTTTTAATAGCCAGGTGCAGAACTATTCGCCGAAATTATCTCCCAATTCTTTCCGAAAACGGACCGAAAGAAAAAGAAAAATGAAGGGGTTTGGAATATTAAAACAAATTCATGATGCTTACCGCAGACTTTCTTTATTATTGTGTATTATTATTATTATTATTATTATTATTATTATTATTAACACTATCATTATTATTGTATTCTCTATTATTGTTGCACAACTGGTGTCCAAGTATAAGATTTGCACACCTTCAAAAAAACTTATAAAGCATAAAGTTACAAAACTTAGATTGCAAAACGTGGAGGCTTTAAACTAAACAATAATATTAGGATGGTAACACGTAATTGGCCATAATTCAAAAAATATCATTGCCTTTTTTCAAAATGTTTACAAAAATTTTTCAACCATTTACGTGTTTACCACAAAATGCTATATTACCTGACCTACATAGATAAATCACTTTGAAAAAAAAGTGATTTTTTCTTTAGTTGAATGTTTGAAATATTCAAAAACAGTAACTTAGTTGCCAACTTATTAAAGATAATAATAGGATTCATAATTTCTTAATGGAATTTGTTAGAACAAATGAAGGCACGACTTTTAAACACTTATCAAATCAAATGAGAAGACCGTTATGTATTAGCAATTCGAAGTCCACAGAGAGGCTGTTTACAAGAATCACAGAAAATCCAAGAAAAGAAGTAATCCCGGAAATTTGAGAGGGATGGAAATGCGCGGCGTCACCATGAACCCCCTATTGATCGCGCCAGCTTCGATCCATGTAGATCAAAATCGCTACCGAATCAGGTGAAAATAGCGTAAGGTAGAGACAGGGGAACACATTTCGCTCTCTCTTTTACGATCTTTAGCCTAAGTAGTATCCTGCTAGTCCATTCTATCTTCCCCACCAATTTTTTCCCACCTAGCCAGCACTTCACCCACCTTTAGATGTCTTCTCATCGTCTTCTATCCTCTAAACTAACTTCATATTTTTGATAAGAAATCTCTGATACCCATACCCCATTTCAGAATCTTTTCTTCGCGCAACGGGATTGATTCGGCTGGTTCCACAGTAAAAACTGTTTAAAAGTAATCTGTACGTATTTGACCCCTTCGCACGTTTTTTGGACTTTTTCCGTTTCCAATCGATAGATATCTTTGAGTTGTCTCGAACGATTCTACTAAAGAAACGTAGGCCTATGAGCATCTCCAACATTGTGGTAATCTATACTTTTGATAGCTCGCCAGCTCGAACCAGACAGACCATAAGTCGTAGAGGTACTCAATTTATACCTTCGAAGGTCGAGGGTATACTGTAGCAATCGATATTTTCGTGATTTCAGGCCGGTCGGGCCACCAAGTAGGTTTAAAAAGCGAAATTTATATATCTGACAGAAAAAGTCAATAAAGATTGACCGGGATTACGTCAGTGGGATGTAATACCACTAGTTGGAAATCAGATGGTTGGTAACTTTAACCTTTCTGTCATCTCTAGTAGATGCAACAAAGAACTAGTATATTCTTCCATATTACAGTATTAAGCTACCGCTCCAAGTACTTGAGATACACCTAAGGAGCTAGTATACTGTAGCAATCGAACTGTTCTCGAGTTGAGGTCAAACCGACCGCTGAGTAGTTGTTACAGCATAACAAATATGCGGTACCAAATAGCTAAGCTTGAAGAGATTTCCTACTTGTGGGAATCTCCAGATGGCTGGAAACTTTAGCCATTCAACCATATCTACTATTTGCCACAGATGATCAATACATTCACAAACAAATCCTAATAAATTTCTAAGACCTTGTCACGATGGCGAAAGACTTTGCACGTTACCAGCTGCGTGCACACGAGTGTCTACCGCCGCTGAATTCAGATGGAAATTCTCGACACAAAAATTTTAAACAAAATCCTGAAAGAAAATTTAGTACCTCATTTTTTAATGCTATCACAATATCATAGCAGATCTTTCGCGAACGAATACTGCCTTGAAATAAAGCGTAGGGCGTAAAATATTTATGTAATACCTTGTATCATCGGAATTTTACAAATACATGAGATTGAAATGTGACTGACAATTGAGAGTGATAGTCGAATTTGAATTTTAACCCATTGACGACCATGCAGTCCACATGTGGACTGCAGTTGTATTTTTTGTTTTATTCATCTATATTTCCATTTTTTTTNATAAATCATGGAAAATTTTCACTCAATCATGTTAAGCACGAACACTCTAACCCTTTCAAATGGCCGAACAACCATACGAAGAANGAAACTACATAAAGCGTGACCCTGGAAAATCTTTTAATCTTGCGATTGTAAAGGTGTTTTTTCGAAGGAGTACATTACCTTCGTGAATTTTTCGTTCGTTGAACAACTTCAAAAAATGAGATTTTTCGAAAACACGGTCGTCATTAGCATTTTGTCTGTCATCGACCAAATGCAGAGCTCGTAAAAGTTCCCCCAAAACGATTCCTGGTAATGATTGAAGTCATAATTGAATGACCACTAGAACGAACGCTGTTTCTATAAAAAAAGATCAATAATCACTCAGTGTGGGCATTCTTTTCAAACCCATTCGAAGGAACATTTCGAAAACTATAAATATCTCCTATAAACTTCAAAAAAATGGTCATGCTGGACCATGAGAGTGGACGAAAAGCGCGCCGGTCCCTCGCGGCGATTTTCCCGCAAAACGTCGTGGTCGTCAATGGGTTAATGAATTTTAGCATTTTATAGAGAAATCTGATTGCTTTTACACTTGTCAACGTTATTCATTCAGCTGACACTTCGGACGTGCTAATCGAAATGAGGATATTTTCTACCACCGGCTAAACATTGGTACAAATCAAGCAAGTATTTTACAAAAAATAACGATCTGTGGGCACACGACCGAAATCTTAGCCAAGTCGAGTTCTTTGACCCCTCCCCGCCGTAAAAACAATCAAATTGGGAAGTGTAATTCAGCTGAAAACAGAGATCGAATCGAAATGAGCATAGCATAGTACGGTACAGCGCTGCAAGCAAACACATATGGTAAGGCGTTAAGGCGAAAAATCTTGTATAATGAGTTTCTTAATTGCACACGTCAATATCCATTAGAATGAGCATATTTACGGCCATCTAAAAACAACTTAGGTACACATTTAGCAAGCAAATTGTAAACAAATAATGTACTAACATACAAAAATATACCACATTTCGGTTCAACCGACTCTACTTTGCACTATACAACAGGAAGACCTGAGACAGAACGCTACAAATGGTGCTCATTAGCAGTTCTGATTTCCTGAAAAAAGTATTAATTTATAAGAACGAACTTTTGTATTTTATCATGTACTCAAACAATTAACGAGTCGTTCTTGCGTTTTTCTTCTACGGGCAAGAATGGTAATCTGAGGCACCCTCTTCTACACATATTACAAACCCCCATTTACACCGATGATTTGCATAGTGCTCTTCTCATTAGCTCATTGAACGCTCAACAGGGTGAACGTGATGTGATAACACCACTATCACACTTCCACAATGAAATTTCTAGCCGTTTGAAAAAGCCCGATAGTAGTCAGCGGATATTAAACATAACATTCGCTTGAGATAGGGAGGTATAAGAATGTCGTACATATCAGTCTGTCCCTAAGAGTCGCTGGACAGGCACAATAGGCCCTTAATTGGCTCTACGAATCCGAGTGGAATTTGGTTGCGCAGCGAGCACCAAGAACCACACGATTGTCTTGATGAAGTTTTCTTCGTTCATGATAAGAATAAACCAATAAGAATAAACCATGACTATAAGAAAGACAAGAAAATAGCTGTCACTTGCCTGTATAACTTCGTACAATCGGAGGGCTGGTCCCAAATTGAGACCCAGTGAATCGATGCAGTCTTGTTGAGACATCACCAGAAGATGAGCTCCATCGATATGCTGAAATTTGTACAGAGAACCTCTTGATAGTTACACCAACAATGGATCGCAGTAAGAGAAGAGATGAGAACTCCATACGTGAAATCAAGCGAAAGGTCAGCAAATTTTACAAGAAGGATGCCACCAATCCCCTCACCTCTCTCTGCAGTACATTCGTAACATCGTTCAAATCAGGGAATGTAGTTCGTAAGAAGTGCAGTAGTTGCTTCTCATCCCAGTCCATGGCATCACCTTCGATACGAAGTGGGCGTGGAGGTGACTAAAAATGAACTGAAGGGTATAGAACTTTAGTGGAAAGAGGTTTATATGCCTCTCACAGAATCGTTATTTGATAGCCCATTAAAAGTGGTAGTCGGCATCTCGTCCGAACTACTACACTGTTGATTCATCTCTTCAATGTGATTTCTTCCATTCGGCATAAAATCTGTCGTGTCAGCCGGTTGCAGCCTTGGCATTTCATCTATTGATGATCTCGAAAAATCATCATCAGATATCTATAAATAAGCAGCTATATGGCATTTTAAACTTGAAATTACTCTCGAGGGATCACAGTAAAATAATTACAGTACACAAGATACACATTACGAAATTATACGTACAGTTGCAACGCGACAGTTCTGCTGATCAGTTCCTTTCGAAGGTGACAGGGGCTGCGTTCGCCGACGTTTTGCAGCTCCAGTTTTTGCAGTACGTCTTCTGAAGATTACTTGAATTGAAACCCGAAAATTCACAAATCCGCATCAGTTGGCATCCCCATACAAAGATACTACAACTTATACAGAACTAAGGGTTAACCAGGGTTCTATTGCGGACTATAAAAAAAGACCAGGAAATCTACAATCAGAAGAAAAGGTAGATAACGGTAGGTTAACGACCTCGCCCAGTTATAAGAATTTGAAACGAATAAATGACAAATGTTCTACGTCGTAAGAGACCGCGATTGACGAGTGAGTTGGTGAGGTAATGAAGGATTGGTCGCCCAAGCATGGAACAGTTTAGCGGATGACGAGCGTCTTGTCAACAAGATGATTTCATCATTAGCGTTGAACAATGAACCCAGTCTTTCCCACAGGATGATTTATTCATACTTGACGGGCCACAAGAGAGCTCTATTTTATTCACTTAACAAACAACGCACCTTCTCTTCTCTACGCTATTCGTATGGACACCTTTTCGAACGAACTCGGCCGGAGAATCCGTCACCTGAAGAAGGATGTGGATATGAAAACTATGTTTACTTCTAGATTTTTTTTAGATTCTCATTCAAAAAAAAAAAGCAAAATGCCTAACGGCGTCATACCCTTCTTCGCTCATCGAGGGACAACTTATTGCAGTTACACCTGGGCGTAGTCTCAAATGAGAACATATTTGGGCAGCAACCGAGTGATCGTAACAAAACCTGCAAAAATCAACGATTTCAATAGATCACTCCTTACATGCTCCGCGAAAAAGAAAAGAAACTATGTGTCTTTGATCCGGTATCCTAAAAAAACTCACTCTTAACCATCCACATGCCTGTCGAGCAGTTTTGCAAACAGGAACACGCATGAGAACATGGTCAGGAGATGTTCGCCACTTGAATTTAACATGCAACACGGCGACGTCTTCGTCGTCCGTATTCAACATAGACTGCATTTCCAAACGATGTTCTATCGCAACACATTGGTAGAGATCCTTAAAAATCGATTTGTTTGTATGGGGAGAATGCTGTGTCGGGCGAACACCTACACTCCAACAAAAGTCATGATTTTCACAAAGTTTCGGAGGGATTAGTGGGAAGCTATCACTAACATACTATTAATGAAGGCGCAGCCTAGAACATTCACCAAACTAGCACCAACTGTTTAACTTCTTCTATTTGACAATCTAATTAGCAAAGAGGAGAACCCTGCCACGGTGCGGGATTGACGTAAGCGAAAAGAAGAAGAAACGAAGTTGTTTCACCGAGGAATGTTTTTGGAAGAGCGGCTATATGAGTGCAGTGCATGCTCTCCTACTTCACCCAATTTTTAAATCGCATTAAGCAGTTTCCATGGCATTAGTAAAAGTAGAAAGCTTACCACGATGAGCACTTTGAAAACATGCAACAATGGCCCCGCTTCATAGTATCGAGCTAAAGCAGCCACTTGTGATCGAACAAGCCACGGTCCCATTCGACATGATGGATGGACATAAATGCGAGGCAGCCAAACGTCATCTGTAACGTGAGAGGATTCAGTGCTCAAGTAGTTTTCACAGCAAATTTTTTGGATACCTTTCAACCAGAACTCAGGCAAGAATGTTTTATCAGTCGGTTTTCTTTCCTGAAATATATTACCGGGTTTAGAGGAATACTCGTTCTTCAGCATATCGAAGCGTACACCTGAAACAATCACTTCAGAATGGTAAAAACTAGAAGTTTGTAAAGATATACCTCCGCTCTTCAATGGAGGAAGTGACAAGAATGGTGGCTCTGCTACAAAAGGAATGTCATGAGCGGCTGCAAAACCGCACGGGAAAATGCAGTCAGATCTGAAACTGAGAACTGAGGGGTATGTAAGTCCACTACGCGGTATACACACTTCACTCAAATAATTGATTGAAGGCCATTTGAAAAGCTGATGTGTCCATACCAGCCGGAAGAAACACAATAATAATCTCATAATTTTGAAATATAGCGAGACTTACCCAATTGGGAACATCAAAGGTGGATTCGGTGTGGTATCGCAGCTGAGCTCAATCAGAACAAGATTGCGTACTGCACGATGAATCAGAGCTGCATACATTACTCCTTGACGATAACAAAACACCTTGAAAAATCTTCATCAAGAGTACGCATCTTAAACTTCTAAACGGCTAAAACTAACCTCCACATGTCTCATGGCGGTGATCTTTTCTCTACTGACATGGGGCTCGAAATTCACCTCACTCGTTGGTATCTAAAATGTGAATAAGCACCACCAACTTTAGAGAAATCGTCTATATCGTACTTACCCCAGGGATTCCCCAATGAGCTGCGTAGGTCTTCCAGCTCCATACCGTATCAGGTGATCTACCTTTCAACATAGCCGAACTACGTGGAATGGAAAGCTGATAACCAATGGAGGCACAGAACCCTTGTGGGAAAACTCCAGGCGATCCTCGATGAGCGACGATCTAAATACATCCTTAGAAACGATATCTCTCCCTGTCTTTTTGGTGATAATATGTCACTTAGTCAGTATTTGCACAAGAACCTTCGTGAGCTTCGAGTTTAGCTGTTGCAGAAACATAACAGCTCAATGCTCACCGAAATTTCTTCATTTATCCACTACTCAAGAAAAGAAAACTCAGGACAAAAAAGAACAGCAGAAAAGAAAAGGGCTAGTGATCAATATGAAGCAGTAAAACGGAGGAATCTTCTCTATCTTACCTCTCTGGTATCCACCGAGCCGAAAGAAGAAGATACTATCCTGACAAAACGACTATTAATGATTTCTGTCACGTGACCGGGATAAATTACAGCCCTCTGTTCCGCATCCTGGACTTCTACGAGTGACCCAATCTGTAAGTCGAAAAAGTACAACTCAGAAAATGACTTCGACGAAATAAAAAAGGACTGAACAAATTTTGTGCATTTTCTGAATTACCTTGAAAAAGTGTTCTTTCAGTTCGATCCTTCTGAAAATTATTTCGGGCACAGCATTTTTGGTGTAATTCTTGATCGCCTCAGCACTATACTTTCCAGGGCAGTATGCGACCTAAACACAACGTCTGTCTTTGAATTATTAATCACTAACGAAAGTGATCAGAAGTGCAATTGACGAAATTATTTTAAAAAATGCCATATTCTTGTTATAAATTCAAGTTGACCCTATCACTTGAAAACAACTCATGAAACAAACAAAAGCAGCAAAGTAGAAGAGCCAACTATACACGAACCGAGTCTTCCTGGTGTCGAGAAGCCCATCCCATGGGATGACATCGTGGATCAGTTATATTGATTGTCATTACCTGTAAAACATACCGACGCAAAAATCGGAAAGAGAGGTTCCTACAGAAGAATAAAGAAAAAAGATGGAAAATCTAGAAGTAACTTGCTTACATAATCAAGGGCTTCGTAAATGACAATACCACCAAAATTTGCCAGTACCTTACAGCAAAACACACAACGAGGTTCTGCTGCATCTTGTACTTCAAAATATTGATCCTCCTTAAAAATAGATATTCATTAACAAGAAATAAAGAAGAAAAAAAGAACGAACAGAAAAAGACTGAAAAGCTCGTGAAAAAACCGCAAGCTTCTTGAGTTTAATCAGACTCCAAAATACTTAGAAAGGACTGATTTTGTTCTTTCAGACTGGATAGGTGCTAAACTCACTGCCCTGTCATTTCATGCTTTCTCAAAGGGGAAAAAAACCTTGCTGATAAGCACATTTCCCCCCTCCCCCCATTCAGAAATATAATAAAAAAGAGTCTCAGAAGAACATTGTGCCGTTATATAATCTGAGCTGGTTTGCGGTGACAAGATATCAAATGGTACGGAATGTGCGAGCGTAGAGTGACTGGCTCGACAACATAAAGCTCTTTTTGTGGCGGTTTATAGCATCATTGGTCGCTGGACAATGGAGTGTGATCACGTGGCCGTATGTGCTGTGAAAGAACGAACATCTGGACCCCTCATAAATATGAACCACTCTTCGAGAAAAAAGTGATCCTAACCTTAATCAAGTCATTTAAACGGCGATCAAGAACACCTTTGTACTTAGAAATCTGCTCGACATCCAAAAAATCCCACTTCCGTCTTTTATCTTTTTCTTCAGAGAGAACCCTGAAAAAATAAGCGATCTAAAATCTGCACAAAATAATTATTGTTGAAAATGCGGAACCTTTTTATGGAACGCTCCACTTCATTCGCATTGATTACTACATCATTTATGGCTATTTCACCGGCACAATCTTCCCGTTTATCTTTTTCATCCGTATTTAAGTAATTAATCATCAATCTTCCTTTGCAGCAGAGCTGTAAAAAACAATAATCGATTAAATTCTACCTCAGAGCAACTTTCACCAAATTCTAAATACCTCGATCCTAGCTACACGTTCATTATCATTCTCTGATTTCACGAAAATATGCTTTCCATGCTCAAATAAACGTTCGGCCACGGTCTGTTCCAGGTAACGAACATGACCGAATAATACTTCGTCCGTGCATGGATTCGTTCCTGTGGCCTATATGTGCGATCACTGATACAAAAACAATGAAGGATAAAAATAAACAGAAGAAATGGTGACGACAATCGATTTGTGATGATGATACTCACAATGAAGTAGCTCTGCCAGTTGAAAGACTCTGGTTTCGTGGGATTAAATACTTTGTCATACTCAAGGCGAGGCTGCAACGGCATGTTATAGCTTCATTAAAAGCACCACAACATATAAATCATGGAAAATTTTCACTCAATCATGTTAAGCATGAACACTTTCAAATGGCCTAACAACCATACGAAGAAGGGGTACAGTATAATAACACGTCGATATTGAGAGCTCATGCCTGAACTGAGTCATCATTCGAATTGGGAGATTGTACATTAACCTCTTTGAATCTGGTCAAGGGGTCTATTTTTGTGCTTCTATCACAAAACGACCACGAAATAGAATTTGAAATCAGTCCGCGAAGGTCCTGGGATCACGACATTCAAGTAATTGCCTGTTGGGAAAGAGTAATTCTACAGAAAGTTTCGTTTTCTTTTCGAAGCCCAACACGTATGTCATAATATGGAGAGCATCTCGGGTGACAAAATAGACCTACTATACGATCCTTAGGCTTCTTTCAGCATCTCTAGTTGTTCCACACCGAGTAAAACCTTTTATATTACCCTATATCAGAGTGAGAAACCCTTCCTTCTCGACTCATCAGCCCTAAGCTTTGGCGATCGTACAATTTAAAAACTTCCGTGATATCATGCGCTTTGTAAAGTAAAAATGCATTAAAACGACTGATCAGTAAAACCGCTTCTGTCTAGAAAAAACTGAGCGTGAATGGAACAGTTGAAAAAAAACCGTCAAAATTCTAGGCATACATCAGTTTAAGGTTTTGAAACATACCGTGACCGTTGACCAGTCTGGCATTCTAAGGCAAAACCCCACAGCTGCGTTGGTCTATCTGAAAATTACCTTGAGTTGATTGAGTTGATTGCAGGAGCGCATCTTTCATGCACTAGAACGGTATTTGTCGAAAATACAACACACGATAAGTAAAAATATTCCAACAATTTTTAAATATTTATTACATCGTACCGCCTCTTTGATGTGGTAGCTGCATAAACTCAGGGGAAAGGGCTAAATTTTGGCATGTATCACAGGTTCGATTGCCAGAAACGCAAATCTGTATAGTTCAGTTTTGAGCTACGATTTCGATGAAAGGAAATGATGAACGAGAATGTCAAGACTAGCTGGAACCTACGCATAATTTAGGAAAATCTTAAAGTCTCATGAAGATCTAAAAAGGCAAAATAAAAGGTGAATGTGTTGGACACGGATGGCCCCAAAAGAATTCAAGTACATCGAACAACACCCAGACCAACGAATTCAAAAGTGAGCACTAAAAAGTATTAGAAAAAAGGAGCCTTGGTAAAACGCAAGCAAATCATGAAACCAAAGAAAATCCGTTTTTGTTGAATGGTTCAACTTCGCTGATGACCATTATTAAATATGTTCGAATGATAAGCAACAAGACACACAAACCATTGAAAACTGCATCAAACAGTCGCATAAACATCGATTTCAAGATACCTCGTGATGCCACCGACAATGTCGGATGTAGTAAATATAGGGGTGCTTATTGGCTGAGCTTAACTCTATATAGGATTGACAAGCATTGAGCTAGACAACTTTAAGGAACTCTCAGTGCACTTCTTCAGGGACTAAAGTTTTCTAGTGACTGTATATTTCTTTGAGACGATCACAATGAGGCATTGGCATTTGATTCGCTCGTCTCAACAGATCTTCGTCACGCTGCCATCGAGCACGATACATTAAGGTTTCACCTATAAAGTTTTTAAATACATACAAGGGCAGACACTGGGAGAGAATCTAGCTGAATTCTCGTCTGATTTGATGAACGAAAACAAAAAAAAAAGCCTGAGGAAGAACTGACGTTGATTCTGTTCCTTATAACAGTTCATCCGTAACCCCTGGATGTATTCGTCCTCAACTTGTGCTTCGATCTGAAAAAGGATAACTCATCGATCATCAGGGATGTGGAAACCACAGCCAATGTTCCTAATACTATGCAAGGTATGCTATCAGATGATTCAAACAGTCGACGTCGGATTGTCCATCAAAAGTGCGAACTGCACTGATATGTAAGAAAAGCTTCATATAAATATCTCGAATGAAGCAAAAAAGGCGTTCTTATCACTGGATTTCACCTAGCTTTTTGTAAAAATGAAAAATGCCCGAGCGTGCAAGTATGAACTGATTCGGAGCACTTAACCGAATTCTCTAGAGTAGTCTTAAGACCCCAAACTGTAGAACATAAAGAAAAGCCCCAAAGAAAATTGTCCATGCTAAGAGAGCTTTGCTACATTGACAGATAAAATAAAAAGAAAGACTTGAAAATCATAAAAAATTCAGAGGGCGTTTAAGCAAGCAAAATGAACAAATCGTGAAAAAGAAATATCGTTCACCACTACCTGGTGGATTCTTCCACGATATGCTTGCTCAAAGTCGCTACGCACAAAATAGGGCACCTTCAAATCACTTTGAGTCAGCCGTTTGACAGGGTATTTGCTGAAATTGTCTGCATGGCAACGATCAATAAATAACGTTCACAAAGCAAAACAAGAAAATCAGAAACAGCAAGAAAAAGAAGAGAAATAAGACAAAGAGACCTCGTGTGATGTAAAGAATAGGCTGGATCGCCAACCATCAGCTGAGCAAGAAGACCCAAAACGAGGATCGCAATTAAAGGAAGAAGTTGTAACAAGGGTGTGTAGGGACTCTAAAAGATTGGAATAGTCTATAAGTATAGAAAAAAACCGAACAAAAAAAAAAAAACAAAAAAAAACTGACTTCATTTTGATTGCGAGTGCTGTGAGTGTGAGATGTATGATGGAAATGTCGTCCTCTCCTCACCGACTCCGAGGGGAACCCGCCACCAAAGAACATATTAAATATCTCTTCTGGTGAGAAATCAGCTGAAGATAACGAAATGAAATGGAAATCATCGAAAAAATGATGACAAATTAAATAGCAGTCAGTTTCACTCTATAAGAAAAACTAACCATCAAACCCGTGAGCGTAATCGTACTCGAAGAAGTCCCCTCTCGGTCCTCTGCTTACATTATTCACATTGTCAGATGTGCCATACATATCATATTGTTTTCGCTTCTCTTCGTTGGACAATACTGCGTATGCATTCCCCAAAGCTGAAAAGTCGAATCGACTTCAGGTTATGTTCATACTTATTTGGACTCAGCACTCTGCTTCCACGCAAGGAAACCTATAGAAAATACGAGAAACACTCATAAGAAGCTATAAAGGCTGACCTTTAAATGCCTCAGTCGAATGCGGTGCTCTACATTTATCTGGGTGAAGTTGTAGGGCCATTCTTCTATACTCCTTCTTTATTTCTGCATCAGATGCCGTTTTTGACACCTATTGATAGACAGCAACTATCGAGATTATCGAAATTTGGAAGTGAAGAAGTTACTCACATTGAGTATTTCATAGTAGTCTTTACAATGCCGGATTCGTTCAACAAGGTCAGCTTGCTGGAAACGATTTACTGTGATAAGAGCACTGCGACTTTACGACTGAACAAGTGGAAGGTCTCATTCCTAACCTCTTTTGTGTAATCGACACCTAATTTTGGGGTACGCGATGATGATCGTGACTTTGCTGTCCGCGCTTTACTAGATTCGCCAACATTCCCGTTTATTTTGCTATCAGAAGCTGTAATCAAGAAGAATATTTGAAGGACGACATGAACATAGAACAAACATGAGAACATAGAACATAGAACTGAAAGCACCTGTTCTAGGAGCAGACTTCTGTGTTCGTCGACTTCGAAGGTTGGGCTCCTCGTAGTGATCGTCGTGAGCATAACTACGTTCTTCTGAGTCACGCGATGAAGATTCACTATTCGCGCCCATTGAGTCCGCTTTCTTCCAGAGGACTGAAAAAAGCAGTATAGAAAAGGATTTTGGCAAAGTAGACAAATAAATCGACAACAAAGTCCCGAGAGTTGTTTGACCCATTGGCTTTGTTTAACGGAAATCAGTCAGGTGGCACCACTGCCCTCCTAGTAGAACAGCTATAGGTGCATGGACCTCCCTGATAAACAAGAAAACATGTGCTGATTGGCGAGTCTTCCGCAATCTCGAAGATCAAACATGTGAAAGAATACAAAGAAAGCTCGGAAGGACTCCAAAATAAGAAAAAATCGCAGGGCCTTTTTATGTTGGAAATAATGTTGTTTTTATGTTGTACCTCAACCTGTTCGATAAACAAGAAAACTGATGCTGATTGGGTTCTTCGTTAAATCTCACTACTAAGACATTATACGCGTCTAGATTCTTAAGAACAAAAAAAGAAAGAACAAAAACAAAAAAAAAGAAACGAAAAAGAGAAAAAAGAAACTCATATACACGGAAAACAACAGCTAATTCGCCTCGGTCACTGCAGAATATATAGTAAGCAGTATGAGAAACCCATATGCAAGAAAGAAAAAGGCTCTAGAAGGCAAGAAAATGGAAGAGAATGCAGCTTTTGTTAAAAGTGGACAGTAAAAAAATGAAAGATAGTTGGGATTTCGTTAAAAGTGGGCTTGGTGCACAGCAAGATTGGTGAAGCAACTAAAAAGGAAAAAATGAAACTAAAACAAATAGAAACAAGCAGAAGAGGACATCGTCCATGTAGATAACCTAGGCGAAAGGCGCTCAGCAAAATGGAAACGGAAGGAAAAGAACCTTTCCGATTGAACAAAGTGTCCGAAAACATAAAAATTGGGTGAAAATGCGATTGGTTTCATTCGGTATGAACGTCAATGTGTAACACCACGGTTTGCAAGAATTGCATCAGAACAATCAAAAAGATGACGGAAGCGAATGCTAAGATAGCTTGATCGATAACAAAATGACAGTGCGCGACGTGTACCTCATCAGCTTTTTGATTAAAGTATCCTGTTTCCCTAACATGAAAAGTAATGCGGAACCACAGCCCTTCAACGTCAACATGAAAACTGGTTTGAGCCGTCCATGGCAATGTCGCTGCCCACGATTGTCCATGTGGTTGAACAAGCCAGATTAACAATTCGAAATGAATGACTTGCACGATAACGGACAACAAGCATACGAGCGGCGTGGCCAAGTAATGCTCATAGACACGCGCCTGGACAGATCAAATTTCGCGATGGTTAAATAGGAAACCTAATACCAACCGAGGGGGATTATGAAAGATTACCAATAATTCTATTAGTTGCCGATATTGATAAAAAAAGCCGCTAGAGATAGATTAACCGCTCGGGTCACTGTTATGACGACTGATTAGTGTAAGAGAAGGTTGAAAAAATGACTTGGCGCTCTCTCGGCGAGCTAAAGCGCTGTTCGCGCTTCAGTAGGACTTTTTTCGCATATGTTGGGCTTCCTCATGGCCTTCCTTGTGCAAAAGCCCAACTTTGAGGGATCTTTTTGGTTCCAAGCGGAAAGAAAAATGGAAACGGTTCACTTCAGGCGCATGGAATAATTTCAAAATAGCCATTTGGACTCGATTCAAAGGAGACAAACCGCGACCACAACCTTGGAAAAGAGCTAAATTAAGCTAGAAATTCGACGAAACACTCTCTCGTATTGTTGACCGCTGGGTTGAAAATGCGGCTTTTCGTAGTCGCACTGGACAATATTACACTGCCTGTTTTTCCGCCCCACACACCTTGTTCCAATCATTGCAAATTAACTGAAAATTCGTAAAACAAAGGCATACCAGAGATACGTAATGATCATTGTTTCATATGACTGGGCAAAAGAGGTGAGCACGCTCAAATATTTCCATAGTGTTTGGAAAGAAATCAGAAAGAATAGTGAATAGCTATGGCCAGCTGTTCTAACGAATACTCAGTCAAAACGATAAACCCCGAATTAGGCGCATAAAAAAATGCATTACAAAATTAGAAAGCTGTACCCACAGGCATAAGTAATGCACCTGAAAGGCGAACTAATGAAGCTATCGAACATCAAATCGAACATCAAAGATGAAAACGCTAACTACAACTCACATTCAATATCCTGGCTAGGGTCTAGCTTTTTGGCCTTGCCAAGCATACGCTTAGCCTTTTCTGTATCCCCATTTCTGAGAGCTTCTCTGGCTTTGTCCATACATACCTATAAAACGTCGTTTAATAAGAAAGTGACCGAGAGATATATGTGTGCGATGCAATCTACCAAGGACTCGGCACGGTTTGCGTCAGCAGTCATTGTTCTTCCAGAGAGTAGTGCTCTCTACTGAGTAAAACACTAACCGAGCTACCTAATGCACTGCTTGTGGAGCCAAGTAAACCTGAAAATTAAGCAATTGGAAGGTTTGAAAAATCCAAAAAAAAAACAACGTCAAAATGGTTAGACGAAAGACGTGATAAAAGGCTCATTATGGTCTCCCCTAAACGTCGTCAGAAAACAACAAGGCTTATTTGAGCACTCATTCAGTGAGCCCAGTGAGCCATCATAGTGAATTGAATCAAAAAATGGGTTATATTCTCAGGAAATTCAGGAGTCTCCCCATTTTCCGAGCCTGAAGGAACCTCCCTATTGCCCTCCTAATCTATTTATGCTACCCAATCACCACATAAATCAACAGCTTGCATTAAAATAGTTTGGGAGATGAATGAAATTGTAAAGTGCTGACGTAATAGAGAAGCCTTGACTACTACACAGGACAAGCAAACTTGAAAAAGATCGAATGTAGCATCAAAACAGGGCTCGTTACTTCTACTCATTGTATTGCAGCTAACTCGACTGAATACCAGAAAGTAGCAAAGTAGCGAGACAATTTCCTCCTACGATTTCTTATCCTTAGCGCGATGTCCTGCATAACAGTCAGATTATTATGACTAAGAACTTTATCGAAAGAAGCGTGAGTGTAAGACCCGATTCTAAGCCTCGTATTAGAAGTGTCAGTGTAAGGAAAGAGCGTAGGAAAAGGTTCTATATAGAAATCGGAAAGATCTGATGAGATTGACACTGATGCCTTAAAGGAGACCTACACAGTGATCTGGGAAGTAGAGAGTTGTCTGAAGTTGTGCCGAACCTACTTACCGCCCGAAAATGGCGAGCACCCCACTATGTAACAACTTCGGGCTTGGAGGAAATCAGTGTAGGTTCAAATTCTACTTTTGAACCTACTTTTAGAAGTGCACCCCCAAAAAATATAAATAACGACTACCCCTAACAACACAGCCCCATAAAGAAAAGTTATAAATACTACTTTAAGCGAAAAAACGTTATTAGTAAGCCCGAAAATAGGGCGTAGTAAAGGAATTGGGGGTAAAGTACAACCACGAGAGGAATCCCAAAACTGCTTCAATTAAAACCACGTTTTTCAAGTAGAAGGAGAATCCGAAAAGGCTTGGTAGCTTCGCGACTCTAAATAGTGTTCTCCTGCATTTTCCAAACTAAGAAAAATAATATAACTTCAAGGATCAGGGACTGCTGTACTAGTTTATCCAAATCTGGCAGCAATTCTGCCAGACTAGAAAGTTATTGAAGGAAAAGTGACACTGGAAGATAACGGATTCTAAGTGAATCACTAGGGCGCAAGCCAGCTTGCTAGAATCACTGCTAATCAATGTGGCATCTTTATTGCAGAGCAAAAAAACTTGCCCTTCAGCTGACCTTACAACTAAGCTCGAAGCATTACTTATTAGCAATCATTTCAAAGGTTGTTCTAACCTAGCAAAGGAGTGGATCAAGCACATATTCTAAATCTCATAGATCAACCCGCCAACTTTATTCTGACATGAAACTCAACATTTTTACAAAAACCATTCATACCCAATCAAGAGAAACCCAGAGCTCAAACACCAGCCTATTCTGAGGGATGACCCGAGAATTCTTTGATAGAAAAGGTTCTAAACTCTGCAAAAATGTTGTATTTAATGCCCTACATTGGCTATTGACAAACAAGCAATGGAACAAGCGGCATGAAAATCAATTCACTGCTGACGACAGTGAAGAGCCAACTGCAGGTAGTGCAGTTGCTGCGGCGCGGTTAAACTCACGTCATGAGTATTGTCGCTCAGTAGAACGTCGTTAATGTTTAAAAATTCTTGAACGCGTGTAAGAACATTTTGGACCACCGTTGTAACTTGTTAGTTTCTAAGCTTTGTAATTCTTTTGCACTACTTGTACGCACAAAGTTTACCCATTATTCTGAAGTACCCACGAGTTTTAATACTTTCAGGTTGATCCCAATGGGCATGACATATGAATTGTCATATCCGATCGGATTCAATGCCTTCAAGAATAAAAACTACCTTTCCACCGTCACTATATGTGCATTTAACGGCTGCTATGGCAATCTAGAAGCTGGGCAGTATGCTATTCAGAGGTGGTTTGGGGATTTATCTAAGCCTTTCGGAATCATTACTAGGGATTGGAATGCAGCGAAAGCGTCCCAACGGCTTAAACCGAATTAAACTTCTACAAATAATCTGTTTAAACAATGACTAGGGATCGGATTTTAAATAAGAAATCCGTGTCGGTCAATATCTCAAGAATTATTCAGCAGCAGGACACCGTTTACTATTGTTCGTTCGAACACTTCTATCGTTTTATCAAGAAAATTTATATTG